GACCGATTTGAAACGAGTCATCTTCTATGTTCAATAACCTATGCATTATACTATATATTATAAGTCAACAGTATCAAGTGCATGATTTGTTGTGATTTAAAAACAAATTAACCCAAAACGTCGTATTTTTTCAAGATATATAATTCCATATTTCAAATTTTTCAAAATCTTGTATTTTACGTTTACCTACAATTGTACTGGCTTAAAATTGAAGCAAACTGAAGCGAGTGAGGAAAAAGAGGAGAGCTGTCAATCCCCATGTGCCATTACCGGGTATATCTGTGACATGAAAAAAAAAATGACCATTTTATTCATGTAATGAAAAATAAAATGATCATTATAATACCCATTAAAAAAATAGATTGTCACCCACTCCATCATTAAATAAAAAATTACTATTATTCTGACCAGTGTAAAAATAGTGGTCATTATAACTACCAGTTTGAAAATACTGGTCAATATTTTGACCATTAAAAAATTTCTGGTTGGTATTCTGGCCATTAAGAAAATAGTGGCCATTACAATGGCCAGAAGTGACTTTTCAAAGGGGTCTGAGGGGTGAAAAAAACAGAGTTAAAGTGAAATGAAAAATTATTATAACCTCCTCACTAGCCTAAAAGTATGAATAAATATTCAAAAGTTGTGAAAATTAAATCTTTCCGAAACGCGACGGAATTTCCGAAAGTTATCCGGACGCTGTTTTATATACTTTATTTCTGACTCAAAGGTCCATAGAGAAATTACTTTAGAAATGTTATTATTTGTGAGAAGGTGTCACCAAAAACTTTACCTTAAAAATAAATCACTGTTTATACAATTACCAATTATACTAATGTCAAGAATTCCTATGAAGTGTTGAACAGTTGAAAATATTTCTTCTGACACAATTACTGCTTGTACTGTTACCTCTTGCATTGTTAAATGCATTGTAGCTAAGGCTTTTGACTGCAGCCCCTCCCCCCTTTAACATGGCAGGTACATCAAGAAGATATTGGTTGATTCATAAAGTTCAGTATAAATTCCAGGCTAATAGTGAACATCAGATTCAAGATATCCAACACACTGGCTGTACCACTTTATTCATACCACGTTGAATGTTTTCTTTTCAGCTGTATGACCTGATGACATGGCATTCAAATACCAAGTGTCTCTGTGTCTTAAACCAACTGATCTACTCCTAGTCACTTTCAATCACATGGATGCTATTCGTATATTTGTAGAAGACTCTCCACCAATCAAATCGCAAGTTGACAATGTGTACAGATTACTCATCCAGGTAAAGATAACAAAGAGTTTGTCAGATGTGTTCAGAAATGGGATAATCCTCATCAAACTTGGAGACCAGTTGTGAGGTTGGGCTGTTCGTAGAATGTGATGCACTGAACATTGTGAAACATGTTTACCTTGTCCGTAACATTGTTGATGAAGATTGAAGTATAAGATAGGAAAATGTCTGTCCTCGCTGTCATCGTCGTTGTCACTGAATATATCGTGAAAATTTTTCTTATAGTACTCTCAGACTAGTTTTTATCAACTTCTTTTCAAACTTGGATACATTGGTGTGGGATCTCGGTCAAATTCACTTTTTGTATGTGTTCCATGTATATATGTTTGTTCATGTGTTTTTGTGTATACGCACATGACATGTATGAGTAGACTGTATAAATGTATGATTTTTTTACCTATTAGAAAGTATATGCACAATACATACAAATCATTGTGTACAATGTATTAAACTATGTTTTTATTTTTTTCAGCACTATGCATCTCTACCATCAGGTGAATTTCAACTCATCAGACAAACATTATTAGAATTTTTCCAAGATATGCACATTAGGGTAAGGTGTTTATACTATAGTACTTTTTGAGGC